ACCAGAGACAGAATCTGTCTTTTGTTTTCCTATTAGAATGAAACTCTCATAGACGAATGGTACTGGCATGTCATCTGGCATCTTTCTGGCTGGCTCTGGGAAGAGTTGGTGGTTTTCTCCTAGTTCCCTGATGGGAGCACATGGCTTCCCACCCCAGAACTGTTGTGTGTTAGGCTACATTTTGCCAAACCCATTGAATAAGCCCTGTTTAGAATACATTAACCTTAAGAGCCAAATAAATCCATCAATAGCCACCCACCACGTTCCGTTCCCAAGGAGGGTGGAAAGTCACAATTAAAAGCGAACACACGGATTGAAGGTATAGAACATTTATCAGCGAAAATGTCAGCTACCAAATTTTAAAGCTCAAAGAGAATTTGGAAAAATAATTTCGCAAGTAATTTTCGGGGAACAGGAGCTCTGGGGGGGGGACATGACTAAGCGCTGCAGGGTCAGGCAAGTTGAAACGGCTCTGTAAGGGGTTTCTGCACACAGAGGCTCTTGTGCTTGGGCATCTGTCTTATTTTTATGTTCCTGTGATGATGCACTCTAACAAAAACGTAATACCGGGGTCCAGTCTGCCACAGTGGTGAGGGAATGGCTGCAGGAGCTGAGGGATGTGCTCACAGCCTGCCGGTCGTCCGGAGGCAGTGATGGCTGCCTGTCCTCAGTTCCCTTTCTCCCCTTATACAGAACAGTGGTGCCCATAGTGGGCAGTTCTTCTCATCTCAGTCCAATCGACATAACCCTCCAACAGGCATGCCGGAGTCCTGCTGGTCTGTCCCTTACCCGGGTGATTGCAGATCAAGATTAACCATGATAACTTTAAAATGCACCACGAAGCTCCAACATGGTCCTGTTGCCTCCCTTGGGAAATCAGTGACTTTAAGTTGTTACTCAACTCCCATTACTTTGTAACTGAAGAAGAGGAGGTAAAGTGACTCGTCCAAGATCATGCAGCTCACAGCAGAGACAAGATTAGGCTAATTTAGCTCCTTTTGTATCTAGTGCCTTGCAGCTGAGGTTATTAGTGGGTCTCCATTTCCTAAAGCCTGCTTTTTTTTTTTTTTTTTTTTTTTTTTTTGTGACAACTCCTTGTTTACACAAATTGCTTGGTTAAATGATCGAAGTTCAGGAAAATGAAGGAGACCCAGGGTTTTGGAGACCAGGGTTCTGGCCTGGAATTGCCTTCTCCCCTGTGGCTAATTGTGGTAAACTGCCCTAAGTGTCTTGAGGCCAGCTTTCTTCTAGAGCTGTTAGCTGAGCATATAGCATTGACCTGTGTTGCTTTGGGCCTCTGGCTAGAAATTTAATCTCATTCCAAGGTCAACAGAATTCTCTCAGAGAGGATTTAAGAAAGATGAGGTCCTGGAACTACCCAGATTGGAACCTTTTTAGGGAAATGGGATTTCTTTTCTTCTCCGCTGTGTCTGCCTTAATATTTCACATGCATTAGAGGCTAAATCAACAGTAAATGACAATACTATAAAATAGCAACAGAAGGACAATTAGTAACAATTAGTATGCTATATACATAAAATTGTCTACAAGGCACTCGATGAGGTACTGCCTATGTTTTTTTTTTTTTTTTGTACATTATGAAACTATGGATTTAAGTAATAAGGCTTGTTTTCTGTTTTTAAGATTGTGTGTGATATTAGAAATGGAAACATAAGCAAGTTGGAAAATAATTTGGATGCTTAACATACTAGGCCCAAGAGAGTGATTTGTAGTACTTAATAATATAGTTAGAACTAATTCCATTTTCCTAATGTGGATTGTTTTTCCAGTCCCCTGGCAGGTACCACATTGAGGCATTTAGAAAAAGGATGGCTTCCTTGGGACTGAGTATAGAATTTGGTCGTTACCTTATTTGAACGATGAGAAGAGTACATTAACGTGTCAGGAAATTTGTGGGGTCATTAACTTGAAACTCTGCCCTCCAAAATAAATATGTCAGCCTTAATTTTAGTGGAGGTGACTCACCTATAACCCAAAGTTCATGAAGCCATTCTTGGGAGACACAGTGGTTCTATCACAATGAATGGTGACAGGGATGTGGAACTTCACCTTGAGCAATGGCCCAGAGCGGAATCCCCTAGTGTGGTGGATGGAAACAGATAAAGAGAAAGGGTGCATAAGAGAGATTTGTATTTACTCTTTTGTTCCCCTTCCATACAGTTTCCACAGGCAGCCATAACCATTACAGCTAGAAACAATAATGGCTCTATAACCATCCCGTAGCTTCTAAAACACTCTGGAAAATGAAAACAAATGATGTAATAAGCATTTGAGAAAGCAGATCATGAAGAATGCTGAAGCCAATAGGCAAATACAGGCCGCCCTCTCCCTGCCCAGAGCGGGCCTTAGACCTTCAACAACCCAGCTGCCACCCACCGACCTCAGCACTGTGATATGCTTTGTTGTCAAACCACGACCTCCCACTGTCCCTTCAAGGCATCCTCTTAACATCTGTAAAATGTACCCCATTAAGCATAACAGAACGAGTAAACATGCCCCTGAAAGCAACATTATTAAAAATGACTGCGCTCCACACTGACTCTCCGAGCTTTAATTAAAAGGAAAGAATCAGGGGCAGGAAATTGATATTTTCCCCCTAATGTTTTAATGATTTGACCTAACTAGTGTATCTGTACAATTTGCTAACACCCTCATTAGAGTTATGCTAAGTAGCCAAACACAACAGTGCCAAGGAAAACGCCACTGAACAATTTTACGTGAAGAAGAGAGCTTAATTAAAAGTGACTTAATTACCATTCTCTGGGACTGTAGATGTTCAAGAGGGTAGGGCCAGTAACATGTGTATCTGTAAGATTAAAGTGAAGCACTGGTTAAAAAAAAAAGGGGGGGGGATTGTTGTATTTGACAAATTGGTTGTATGTACTTTTTTAAAAAATTAACTGCTTTACCTGCAGCTGAGCCACAGCCCCTCAGAAAGCACAGCCTACCCTAACAGATATATTTTCTTTTCGATCTTCTGACCAGGTGTCATGGTTTTCTGTAAATTTGCAAGACCTTCTCATGCGCAGTGGAGATAAATTAGGTTCTTTCCCTACCTGGCTTGTTCAAACTGTGAATAAACCTGTTTTATTTTAAAAATTAACTGCCTTTTGGCATCAAAGATGCTTCCATCAAACTGAATTTATGTTATGCAGCTTATCCATTTAATGGCACTCCTGTTGACACAGTGGCTTTGTGTCCTCATAGCCACAAAGGCAGATACACTCCAAGATGGCCCCAGGACTCTTCCCTCCTGTTTGAGCCTATGTAATCCCCTGCGGAACGTGGATAGGACCTTGGCTTGCTTCTAATCAACAGACCACAGACCATGGCAAAGTTATAGGATATATGTTATAGGATATTTCTGATTACAATACTGGCGGTTATAATGCCTGTCTAGTAAGGGAATTCCCCTTGCTGGGTTTGAAGAAGCAAGTTATTATGCTTGCTCTTCTGCACAGGAACAGGGAAGCCTGGAAGCCTCTTGCTGCTGACCAGCATGAGAGTGAGGCCATACTGTTGGCCTGCCAAGAGCTGACTCTGCCAACAACCTGATTTGTTGGGGAACCAGATCCTTCCCTAGTGGAAAGTAAGATGCTCGCCCTGCTCAACATCTTGATCACAGGCCACCCAGCTAAGCCTCAGAGATCCCCTAATGCTGTGACATGAGGCATCACCAGGAACCTGGACCATGAGAAGTCCAACCACACATCAACTCCTTAAAGGCCCATCACATTGGGCACGTCCCTCCTTACAGTCTTTCTTTTCCTGATTCACATGGATCATGAGGCAATCAATTTATAATTCTCTCGAGTTTTTTTTTTTTTTTTTTTTTTAGTATTAATGTGTCTGTGTATATGATGTGTGTGTATGCACAGGTGCTACCGTGTGTATATGTGTGTGTGAGCGCATGCGCACGAAGGGATTAGAGGGCAACTTCTGGGAACTGGTTCTCCCTTTCCACCATAAGTTCTAGGGCTTGAACTTAAGTCGTTAGGCTTGCATTGGCAAGTGCTTTTACCTGTTGAGTTATCTCGCCAGCCTCTAAGTCATGGATCTTGATTGATTCTGCATATTAAATGATTTGTGTCTCTGTGAGACAGAAAGAATCATAATCAGCACGGTTGGAGGTGATTAGCTATCTTTTCGGGAAACCAGAATTGATCCACAGGACATTTACCAGCGTGCTGCACAGACTCAAGTGATCTACTTACCGAGCTCTCTTCCTTACCAGCAATTTCTCCTAACAAAGGCTGATTCTGTACAATACATTGTTCTAAAAACAATAAAAAAGAAAGAAAATGGAAACATTATGATCCAATAAACAGTTTATTTATTTATTTTTTTTAAATACCAAAAGTGTCCCCTTTTCCCTGATGCTTAGTGTTGAGACTACAGAGTGCCTTGTGGCCTTGGAACGCACATTCATTGTCTAAAAATAGCTCCAGCTCTTACAGCCTAAGGCAGGCAGATCACCATGAGTTCACCGACTGTATGGTGAGTTCCAGGACACCCTGCAGCACGCTTTAAAAGATAAGTCTCAACACACAGAGAAGGACAAAAATAAAACCCAATAAAAATAATTTTCCCTTACTTCTCAAAAACTTTAAAAACAAAACAAAACAGCGCCTCCCCTGCGGCTTTTACTTTTGTTATTTTCTTCTTTTATAAAACAGTGGCTGAAGGGCCATATACCCACCCACTCCTGGCAGGGTCCATAAGAGACCCAACTGGCCCACATTTGCATGCAGACTGTCTTTACTCTCCAGCTGGCCTCGCTCCCAGGGCAGCACGCACTGCGCAGGCGCGCGGCCTCTGTGGTCCTGGGGCTCTGCAGCCGTTGGGGAGGTTTCCATCCCTTTGGTTTTTGACCCTCTGCGCTTGCCCGCTCCGCCCCTGCCTCTGCCCCAGCCCAGCGCTGGCCCCGCTCCTCTTGCAGGAAGGTGCTGGCCTGCGGCCCCAAGGGCATCAGTGTCCAGATGAACTCCAACGCCCCGGGCTGCCCCATGGCCTCGCTCTATGTGGGGGACCTGCATCCCGATGTGACTGAGGCGATGCTCTACGAGAAGTTTAGTTCTGCTGGGCCCATCCTTTCCATCCGGGTGTACAGGGATGTGATCACACGACGCTCCCTGGGGTACGCTTCCGTGAACTTCGAGCAGCCTGCGGACGCAGAGCGTGCTTTGGACACCATGAACTTCGACGTCATCAAGGGCAAGCCTGTCCGCATCATGTGGTCTCAGCGTGATCCGTCGCTACGCAGGAGTGGAGTAGGCAACGTCTTCATTAAAAATTTGAACAAGACCATCGATAACAAAGCGCTGTACGATACATTTTCTGCTTTCGGCAACATCCTCTCCTGCAAGGTGGTTTGCGATGAGAACGGCTCCAAGGGCCATGGGTTTGTACACTTTGAGACGGAGGAGGCGGCAGAGAGAGCCATCGAGAAAATGAACGGGATGCTCCTGAATGATCGGAAAGTGTTTGTGGGACGGTTTAAGTCTCGGAAAGAACGAGAGACAGAGCTTGGAGCGAGGGCCAAGGAGTTCACCAATGTTTACATCAAGAACTTCGGGGACCTCATGGATGATGAGACCCTGAATGACCTCTTCGGCAGGTTTGGACAGGTTCTAAGTGTGAAGGTAATGACCGACGAAGGCGGGAAATCCAAGGGCTTCGGGTTCGTCAGCTTCGAAAGGCACGAAGACGCCCAGAGAGCCGTGGAGGAGATGAATGGAAAGGAGCTCAATGGAAAACCCATTTACGTCGGTCGAGCTCAGAAGAAAGGGGACCGGCACATAGAGCTCAAGCGCAAATTTGAACAGGTGACACAAGACAGAAGTATCCGGTACCAGGGCATTAACCTTTACGTGAAAAATCTTGATGACGGTATCGACGACGAACGCCTCCAGAGAGAATTCTCCCCGTTTGGAACAATCACCAGTACAAAGGTTATGATGGAGGGGGGTCGGAGCAAAGGGTTCGGTTTTGTGTGTTTCTCCTCCCCGGAGGAGGCCACCAAAGCCGTTTCAGAAATGAATGGCAGAATTGTGGCCACGAAGCCACTGTACGTAGCTTTGGCCCAGCGCAAAGAAGAGCGCCAGGCTCACCTCACCAACCAGTATATTCAGAGAATGGCAAACGTGCAAGCCGTGCCGAACCCCGTGATCAACCCCTACCAAGCAGCACCTTCGGGGTACCCCGTGGCCGCCGTCCCACAGACTCAGACCTGTGCTCCGTGCTGCCCTACCCAGGTTGCTCAACCAAGGCCAAGTGCTCGCTGGACTGCGCAGGGTGCCAGGCCTCATCCGTTCCCCAGTGTGCCCGGTGCGATCCACGCAGCTGCTCCTAGAGTGTCGTTCGCTACTGTGAGACCAAGCCCTTCGCATGTTCCTCAGGTCGCGTCAGCACATCGCCTTACTAACACATCAGCCCAGACAGCGGGTCTACGGCCCGCAGCAGCTCCTTCCGACGCAACTACTCCTGTGCATTTGGTCCCACAGTATAAGTACGCTGCAGGAGTCCGGAACTCCCAGCAACATCTCAATGCCCCCCTGGCGCAACAGCCTGCTGTTCGGGGACAGAGTCAGGAACCTTGGAGTGCTTCCATGTTAGTAACTGGTCCCCAAGAGCAAAAGCAAATGTTAGGGGAAAAGCTGTTCCCTCTCATTCAAGCCATGCATCCGACCCTGGCTGGTAAGATCACGGGCATGTTGCTGGAGATCGATAACTCGGAACCACTCGGTCTGCTTGAGTCCCCCGAGTCCCTGCGTTCCAAGGCTGACGAAGCTGTGGCTGTACTTCAAGCCCACCAAGCGAAAGAGGCTGCCCAGAAAGCCGTTAGCGGTGCCTCTGGTGTTCCAACTGTTTAAACTGACCAGAGACCTCGAAAAAGAAACTCACAATTTGCAGAAGAAAAGTATATAAACATTGAAAAAAAAAGTAAATATTATTTTTAAAAAAATGGTAAAATATAAAATAAGTAAAAAAAAAAAAAAAAAAAAAAAAAGGAAAGGAAACTTTGAACTTTATGTACTGAGCAAATGTCAGGTCTAGTGTTAGGCCTAGACTTACTTAAAAACAGCAACCCTCCCCCCCAACAGAAACAGTAGACGCTACAAACCAATGTTTTGTAGACCCCAGAAAAAGCATTTTCAGCCAAGTAGAAACATTTAGAGCATTCTTTTAATTTTGTAATTCTTTATTGTTGAATAGCTCAAAATGTTAGTTCTAATAGCAGAATTGATAACCGGGCAAAGAAACGATTTAAAATTCTTGCTTTAATAAAAACTTACACAGTGGAAAAAATATCAGGAGTTATATAGGTAGGGATAATGTGCTCTCCCATTTTCTTTGTATTGCTCTCTATTAAATTATATATTAGAATAAAGAACAACTAGATGACTTATCTTGTGCCAATTAATCAGCATCTGTGGTGGGAGACAGCTACGCTGCGCACTGACAATGTAAGACCTCAAGTTGGCGGACATTGCCTTTATACAGCTTGCAATCTTTCAGGGAGGGCAAACCATTGAGTTCATGACCCCCAGGGACCTCTGGCCTGCTTCCTGGTAGGTGGAAAATCCAATCAGGGAAACAGACAACAAAAGCTAGAACGTCACAGGAGGACATAGCCTACTTCTTGCCAAGTCTGTAGGGACCACTGATGGGAAGACGGAGGGACGAAGAGCCTGTCTTCTCATCCAGTGAAGAGCCTGGAGCAGATGCTTAGATGGCAGGCATAGAAGGGTGGGTATTTAAATCAAGTTAAGAAAACACAAGAAAGAGAAGAGTTGGAAGTAGCAGATCACAGATAGAGAAGCTGCTTAGAACTGGTGGCAGATATAGTCCTAATAAGCCACATTCATATACTGATCATTGTTCAATGTGTAAGTCGTTTGCCTGAAGCCGGCATGGGTACCGGGGACAAATGGTGTGCAGCAGCAGCAGGGTACCTATAGGAGAAATCTCCCAGGGATAGCACATGCGAACACCCAGAGAAGTAGGGTGAACTGAGGATCTAGGGTAGAGGCTATGGGAGAGGTGGGGTCTTTATGGGAGTGGAGATGGGGAGGGACGTAGAGGAGAACAGGAGAGACTGAGAGAGAAGATAGAGAGAGCATAGAATTGGAATCCAATGGAAGCAAGGGTGTCAGGAAATGAAGGTCAGGAGTTTCCCTGAACTGCTGAGCTTTCATTTTGCATCTGCCAAGAGACCCTGGACCTTTATGGAGGTTATTTCAAGAGTCCGTCTTCTGATCCTTTTGATTTAAGGCCTACCACGGTCTTAAGCATAGCAATAGGACATTGGCTGTGTGTCAGAAAGTGACTCTCTGACTCCCATAGCATTGCTGAAATACGATGAAATATCAAACTGTTTTTTCTGCATCATAATGTGGGCTCAACATATGATAACTACCATTCTGCTTTTGGAGAGCTTTCATCGTTTATCTTTTAATGATGAACAACCCTTATACAGAAATGTCTTTAGAATATTATTCTTGGGGCCACCATTTTTAGATGAGGGTAGTATCTTTTCTGTAGGTGTGAGAACCAAGGCTCTGATAGAGTAAGTGCAGATCAAGTTAAACAGATATCATCATCACTAGGGTCCATTCAGCTTTTCTATACTCTTCCCAAATGATGTTTGTCACTGTGATGTTTAACTTTCATAGGATTTGAATTCTCCCGGGAGACACACAGACATCAGGGTATGTTTTGAGAGTGTTTCCAGGGACACTCACTTGAAGAAAGAAGACCCATCCAGAATGTGGCTTGCACCATCCCATGGGCTGGTAAAAAGGAGAATGTGAGCTGAGGGATAAACATTTATTTATCTCTTTCTGTTTTCCAATATCGGAGGTGATGTGGCCATCTGCCTCGCACGCTCCATCACCATACCTTTCCTTTATGATAGGCTATACCTTTAAACCGTGAGCCAAGAGAAACCTTTCTTTCCTCTGGTTGCTTTTGTCAGGTATTGAATCAGAGCAGTGAGGAAAAGCAACTAATTCAGCAGTTAGACATCTCCATGAATTAGCCTTTCTTTAGCAGCACAATCGTATGTATATAAGGGGAAACTGAGCGGGGCACATGTAAATCCTGATAGAAACGGGGTTTTTTTGTTTTGTTTTGTTAAATTTTAAGAAGACATCCAAACAGCCCCTGGCTGTGCTTGAGACAGTTGTATGTTACTGATTTTTCACCTGCTCTTTGGAGCTTTGGATTTACTGTCTTATCACTCCCCAGTGGTCTTAATGTGCCCCAAGTTTCTGCCCAGAGCCTTCCCCTGGACTCAAAAAAATGTTTTGTCATTATCTAAGACTAAACAGATTTGAAACTAGTAAACAGAATTTGAAAAATGCTATCATCAATTCAAAACCCAAACTAAATATAGAACTACAATAAGCCTGGCTGGCAAAGGGGTCTAGGAGAGGAACATACCTATTTCATTTGGCCTTTGGGCACAGATAAGTAACAGTAGTCCAAAGGACAGAACCATCTCCAAGTATCATGGGTTAGGACATGGGACTTAGTAGAGAAACAAATGGCATATTTTAGAACCCAGATGAAACATTGGCGAGAAAATAATGGTCCCACAATAACTGCTGAACCTGAAAGTAATTGGCAACTTCAGAGGCGAAGATAAACACTTCTCCGGTAGACCTTCCTGGCAGCCAGTGAGCTTAGCGGAGAAAGCAGACCATGGCTGCTCAGGGAGGAGAGAGATCCTGAGGGGAAGTGGGTAGGTGGGAGGCAAAATGCAAAAAGATAGTTGTTCAAGGTACAAGTATCTGGTGCCATTGCAGTATCAGTGATTAAATGCACAGCCTCTGGTGCTCATCTGTGGACGGGCTCCTCTTTGGACTGCACGTAAACCTGGCTTAATGCACACATCTCAGAAGCACTTGCCTTTTAGGGGAGCTGACTGAAGACTCTGCTGTACCTCTAGGAAACAGCATCCTGTAGAGTTTTACTCTTATTTACATTCTTACTTGTTAACTTTCAATATACTTGGGGTGAGGGAATTAAAGTGATAGATATGAATCCAACTCTGATTTTATAGCCAATTGGAGGAGCAAATGAGGTATGCTGTCTGCCTTTAATTGAGGTTTTAAATATTTCAAAAGTTACAAGGACTGATGAGGTTATATGAAACCAGAATTCCGAAGCCACACAGGCATCACTTTTTAAAAACACTGGGAAGACAGTTCTCTTGCATAGAGTGTACTCTGGTGGATGAACTGCCTTCCTCAACCAGGAGGTGGGAGAGGGCAGGAGATGCTGAGAGCAGAAGATCACAGTACAGGGAACTCCCCACCTTCTGGTCTTCTGCTGACATTGCCCAGATTTGTGTACTTTCATTTGTATCTCTATCTGGAACTGATTTAGGCTGGAGTTAATTAAGTGCACGGGGCTTAGAATGACAAAAATCTGTTTCCCATCTCTAATATTAGCTTCCAGAGCAACAAACAAGCTGTTCTGGTCAGATACATCTTAACAGTGCATTGAATCCCCTCACATTATTGTTAGGAAACAATTCACAAAATCCAATCAAATTAGGCAAGAAGTAAGCCCATGGAAAAGCCTTGTCCACACCACATCCCAAGCTGGCAGTGGTGGTCAGCCAACCTTTTATCAGGGATCAGAAGGTTGCTAAATGGCAGATTTGCAAAGCAACTCCTGCCTAGAGCACCTGGTTGTCTAGGCACGCTGACAAATGACAGGGCGCTTTGGCCTCAGCCCATCCAGAACACCTGGAGGGTAGCCCTGAGGGAAATCCTATCACTCTGTCCCCAGTGTTCCAGAGGATGCAGCACCTGTTGTTGACACATCTGGCGCTCCAGCTTTTCCATAATTTCCCACGCTCTGGGAGCGGCCATAACATTTTAAAGCTGAAGGAAGGATAGCCCTAGCCGGCAAAGGGAAGACATCTGACAGGAATAATCCCCAAACTCGGAGTAGTCAGACATCTCACAATATCCGCAGATAGAACCGGCTGCTTACGATGTATACTGCCAGGCATGAGTGATGGGACAAGGACAAGTTGGAAATTGTGTCTGTTTTCTCATTGCATGCATGGGTTGCATCTCTTGGTTTTCCTTTAAAAAACAAAACAAAACATCTCTGAAGCTAGAATAACTCTTTCCAACATCCCTGCTGCTTCAATTCTGTTTTGGAGAATTTCTTCCTTTGACCAAGTCGACCTTGACTTTGAGAGATTCAGAGGCTAAGGGGATATTGAACATGACCCAGGTTCTATCTCTATCCCAACACCTGGGTAACACAGGCATCTGGGAGCCATGTCTTATGTTTTAAGGTACAGAGGGTAACACACTTGTGCCTGAGGGGTCTGTGTGCAGAGAGAGCATGGTGGCACGTTCCCTAAAACTCTGTCAACAGCTGGAATCTCCAACAGCTGGAATGCTCAACAAGTAGTGGCAGTTCCAGCCTTACTATTGTGAATGAGATCTAAACAAATGGAAGACACAATCTTAATCTGTAGAACAATAGGGAAATTGGCTTAAGGTGGTAGGCATTTATTTCTGCTGTTTGGGGATGTGATAATCAGACAATCGTTTCTTCTTTGGAGTGCTCAGTAGAGTTTGCATAATGAGCTACCAAAAAAAGCTTCTCATAAGAGAAAGAAAAGCCCACAAAATTCAGAATATCAACTCAAATTTGAAGAAACTTGTTTCTCAAAAAGCAGGTATTTTAAAGAGAGGTCAAGATGATTGGCAGGCTATTCACAAGACACACTAGAAGAAAACCATAGTTTCTTATTGTCATCTCACAAATGCCGTCCATCATATCAAAGATAAGAAATGGAATGGGCTGACCTTCCATTTCCTCTGTCGGTTTAGAAAAGCAA